GATTTAAATGAGCTTTTAATATGTTGTTCTATGGACAAAAATAGGAGATACGTATTTTTTTATATTGGCTAAATCACACCTTAAGAGGTGGAAACTTCCCTTGAAAAAAATCGGTTTTTTTCTTTCGAAGCGAATATCTTCAAACCTATAAGAGATAGACAAAATTTTTCAGAATGAAAATTGAATGGCTTTAAGAGTACCTTAGAACTATAATAAAAAATATATTATTTAATTATTTATTTATAATAAAAATTATTTATTTATAAAGAAAAACAATTTTTTATCGTAATTCCAAACTCTTGAAGTAATTCAATTTTCATTTTGAAAAATTTTGTCTATCTCTTATAGTTTCGAAGATATTCACTTCGAAAAAAAAAAAGATTTTTTCGACGTGCTCGCAGCCGTGATTTGCAACCATGACTATGTTCGCTTTGTCACTCACAACGTTTTAAGCATCATTTCATTCTTATTGTTTATTAAATATTAAACAAGGACAAATGATGCTCACAAGTGCTGTAAGCGTCAAAGCGAACACAGCCCATATTGCACGAACACGAACCACTTCGGAATTGATCGAAATCACTCAAAGCTAACGTAACTTGTTGACGGTCACGTGTTTATCCCTACTATTTTCTATATCTACGCAATGGGTTACCACGGACGAGCATATTCTTGTCTTTATATTATGACTAAGTCCCTAAAATATTCCTTCCTTCGAGAAGGAAGACTTGAGATGAAATAAGGAGACCTTGGAGAATCGAGGAATCCTTTATGGAGACTTCCTTTATTCTTAAAATAAGGAAGGACTATGAATACGGGTATATATTGATTTTAGTGAACATCGAATTTAATAAAAGATTTTTGCAATCTTTTAATAAGTCTTTGTTTTGAAAAGTCTTACAGTGTTACTTATCAATCGATTTTTACAAAGTGTATTCTGCTTATGTAGGGTAAACTCGGGTATGATGGCCATAGTTTTTTAAAATGCAAAAAACATACATTTATTCTTGTTACTTTTTTACAATATTTGGGATATTACTTTCACTAAAGTAACAAATACTATCGAAATTAAAGAGAAAATACTTAACACAATTTTAATTTTATCAAAATATTACAAAGTATGCATTGGCCATCTTATCTGATTTTTAGGGAAAAGATGGCCATGATATTAAGAAAGATAGCCATAGTATTTATAAATAAATAGTGAAAATAAAAGTATTAATTATAGGTTACATTGCAATTTACGTACCTCTATCCTACACAGTGCGACAAATATGTTCCCGGACAGGGCCTGAAAATCATAATTGAAACAACAAATATGCATATTTTTTGGTTTTATTATTCAAAATATTCTCCTCTGGCTTCAATACACTTGTTACAGCGATTCAATAGTGATTCAAATGCATGTTCTAGCTCAGTTTGCGGAATTGCCTCTAGTGCTTGTGTAGAAGCTGATTGGATGGTCGGAGTGTCATCAAAAAAGCGTCCTTTCAATTTCAATTTCAATTTTGGGAATAATGAGAAGTCGCAGGGGGCCAATTCAGGTGAATACGGTGGATCGTTTAACACAGAGACACGATTTCGAGCCAAAAATTGACGGACAATCAATGAAGTGTGACTCGGTGCATTATCATGCAACAAAGACCAATCTTCTGGATCACGATATTCGGAGCGAATACGATGAATTCTGCCCATCAATCGCTTTAAAACTTCGAGATAATATGCACCAGTAATTGTTTGGCCAGTTGGAACAAACTCTTTGTGGATAATACCTTTGCTATCAAAGAATGTGATGAGCATTGTCTTGATTTTTGATGGAACTTTTCGTACTTTTTTTGCTTGTGGTGAATTTTTTGACTTCCATTCCGCACTTTGACGCTTAGTTTCTGGATCATATTGAAAGCACCATGTTTCATCACCCGTAACCATTGATTTTAGGAAGTTTGGATTATTTTCTGCAACGATGTCTCTGGAATGATTGATTCTCATTGATTTTTGATCACTTCTTAATGTGTGTGGAACAAACTTCGCACAAACCTTCGTTTTATCCAAATCTTCATGTAATATGGTTCGAATCGGTTCTCTACTGATATTTAAAGCCTTTTCCATCATTCTTAGCTGATGCATTGCGATCGTTTGCAACAAAATCGCGTACTTTTTCGATCACTTCGGGTGTTCGAACCAAAATTGGCTGTCCTGATTTTTTGTCATTTTCAAGAGTCTCTCTGCTTTCCAAAAAACGCTTATGCCACTCAAAAACAACTGTACGACCTAGACATTGACTGCCGTAAACTTGTTGCATCAATCGGAATGTTTCTGATGCACTTTTATCAAGTTTTGCGTTGAATTTAACCACTGCTCTTTGTTCCATATTAAAATTTCTATGTTGACCAAAATCTTGTTTAACATGAACTGTCATATCTTCGTTATATGTCAATCAAAATGAATGAAACTTTGACAGATGATAGGGAAATGTTCAACCTTTAAAATGCATGTTTGAACGCACAGATGTCGTCATTGGTTGCTGAGATGTGGTTCGTGTCCGGGAACATATTTGTCGCACTGTGTATTGGGTATGGGAATAAGTTTCCGCCCTTTTTGAAAAGAAAAAGATGTGTTTATTTAAACAAATCTATATAAGTGAGTTTATTCAAAGTATGCTCCTTCGGAAGCGACAACTTTCTCCCACTTTTCCGGTAAGAAACGGATTTCTCGGATGAAAAAATCTGGTTCTTTTGAAGCGATCCATTCATCAAGCCATTTTTTGATATCTTTATAAGAATTGAATCGTTCTCCAGAAAGGGCCGACTGCATGGATTGGAACAAACGGAAATCTGAAGGAGCAATGTCCGGTGAATACGGCGGATGGGGCAGAATTTCCCACTTTACTCCTTCCAAGTATTTCTTGACCGGTTTTGCAACGTGTGGCCTAGCATTGTCATGTAACAGAATCAGCTTGTTGTGCCTATTGTCCCATTCCGGTCGTTTTTCTTTCAAAGCTTGGTTTAAACGTATCAGTTGTAGTCGATAACGATCGCCAGTGATGGTTTCGGACGGTTTGAGCAGCTCATAATATATAACACCTCTCTGATCCCACCAGATGCACAACATAATCTTCGAAGCATGGATATTTCGTTTTGGCGTTGATGGACCTGGTTCACCTGGCATCACCCATGCTTTCAAGCGTTTAGAGTTATCGTAGTAGATCCATTTTTCATCGTCAGTTACGATACGATGTAGAAAATCCTTCCTTTGTTGTCGTTGACGAAGCATCTCGCAGATGACCAAATGTCTTTCCATGCCTCTCTCTTTCAATTTGTTTGGCACCCAATTTCCTTCTTTTTGCACCATTTCCATTGCGTGTAGACGTTTTCCAACAGTGGATCTATCAACATTTAACTC